ATCTTGTTGTGTATCGCACTCCCAGCTGATACTATCTGGGCGCTCGACATGCTCGACATTGTCTGGAGCGCCTTCTCCTTGGCGGCATGATCCTAACAAATCGTCAAACCGATTACAACGCATTGTCGAGTGGCGGCGAAACGTCAATGATAATAATTGTTCTTGTTCTTTTATTTATTCATTTATATCATGTGGTGAATTGTATTCTATTAGTGTCATTGGACATCTCATTTTATTAATAGTAGTGATGATTTGTGATTGCGTTATATTATATTTGATGAAGATGATATGTGTGATATATATATTTTTTTTTTAGAAAAGACAGTCACAAGAAAAATGTGCGATTGACTTAATTAAACGATAGAGTAAGAGAGTTCTTTTGGGAGAGAAATATGATTAGAAGAAAATTTTTTCGATTTGTAATATAATTCAATTATTTTTAAATTTTAAGATATGGATTTAAGTTTGTATTAATTTTTAACTGATAATTTCAATAGAAATTTCTATTATATTTTACTATATTCAATCCAAATTTACTTATTTTAATAAAAATAAAATATTAAATGCATACAGAATATTATTCTTTTGCACAAAATATTTTACACAATTAAATTTATTTGAAAATAAACCCATAAAAAAATCAAATACAATCAAAAAGATCGAATCATCTACAAAATAAAAATTGCAATTCATTAATGACAAAAATGAGATGCTTAAATCCATTCTGTATAAATCCATTTATAAAATCCATCTACAAAAAAAAAAACTAAAAAAAAGAGAAGAAACAAACATAACACAAAATGCTTCAGTATTAAGTAAATAACATCAAACAAACTACACACCATATTAAGAAAAAAATTCAAAGATAAATAAAAAAAAAAATCATTCCATATTTTTCCGTATATTGCCAAATCGAGTCGCGTATCGTCGTGAAATTAAATCGATGAACGATTTCTCCCCCGATGGCTTGCATAATTTCGTTCTCTCCGCCGAATTTCCCATCCCATCGCGTTTCTGTCGCTGTTTTATGCCCGGTTCGGTTGATGTCATCGATCGCTATCGAGCAAAACGGCAATGCAGAGTTGATTGCAGAAACAAGGCCGGGTTTGGGTCGCGAAATTCGCGGGAATTTTGCGCTTTTATCGGAAAGCCGTCGTTTTAATCAGCGCCACCTCTCCCCTCCCCCTCCCTCGCAGCAAACGGCTGTCGAAAATCGCTGACGAAGCGAGAGAGAAAGAGAGATTCGTTCACGTGATATATCCACAGGAAAATTGGCGTGTACCGAGCCTCTCCCTACCCCCTCCACCGCAACTCGAGCGCCCTCTGCGC